AAAAAAAAAAAAAAAAGAAAGAAAGAAAATGAAAAAAAAGGAAAAAAAAGGAAAACTGTGAGAAGGTGATGCTCCACAAAAATATTAGTTCCATTTAAAATATGAAAAATTAAAATGACTTAAATTGTTCACTTTCTCCTGAATACAATACAGAAACCAAAGAAAAAGATGAATAAAAAATGGAGAGGTGCAAATACTAAATTGGATTGTTGACCCTAAAAGAAATTAGGATTTTCTGAGAAGGCTAGTAGTTTCTATGTGATCAGGAGTGCTATAGATACAAAGGATGGCATCTTAACATATTTTCTACACAGAAGCTCTAAAATAATACTTGTGAAGTTACTCCCAATTATTCTATGTCATTTATCATCAGAAATTTCAGTTCCTTGTTTAAAAACCATAATTCTTTTTCCTTTGAGACTGCCGTCTAAATTTCCTTTCTATTTGAAGCTGTTTCCTACGTCATTACATATTCATTGATAAGATTTCCATGAACAATTATGAAACTGCAATCAGAAATCACAAGTTATTTTCAGATCATATAATCTTGATTTATAAATGAAATAGTACATAAAATGAAGGTGCTAATTTTATCCATGAATCCAGCACCGTCCAACATGAATAACATTTTTTTTACTAACTTATATTTCTTGTTTATAGAATTTTCTGTGAACTTTAACCACGCTCATTACTTGCAAATATTTACCAGGTCATTTTTATTAAAATGATTGAAGAACAATAATTCTATTCAGTTTTCTCCTTTAAACTGACATGGTATTTATTTAAGAGTTTAAAATATGTGATATATTTTCTAATTATTTTTAGGGTGAGGTAAACTCTTGAAATCTATTTACTATGATAAAAAAATTTCAGGAGGCCTAAAAGTACAAAAATTCTTGGAACAATAAGATATGCTTAAATTGTGGTTTTTAACAGGATTCATTAAAAAAAGTTTCATAAGCACCCAGCTGTTGTCTAAATTCTCACAATTAGCTGGACCCTTAGTAGCACAGGCCCAATGTTTTCACTGGAAAAACATGTGTTCTTAAAATTAAACAGACCGATCCCTACTGAACTAGAATTTGTCAATAGGTATGGCATAAACATTATATAATAAATTTAATAAATATATATACACTAAACTGTGGCACAAAGAAAAATCTTTCAAAATAAATGACATTTTCAGAGCTGTATTTATTATTTATCTAACCCAGCTGTAATCCTATTCCTAAGGGAGATATCTTCATTTATGACCTGGCATAATGTGAGCTTATGATGGACAGAAGTGTAACTAGTCAAAAGCCAGTACTCCATGTACATTTAGGATGTTTGTGATGTTCTGTCTGACTCTCAGACAGAAATTTCCAAACAGCTGACAATCTTAAACCCACAATCCTATGTTTAAATAACACAGGAGTATTAATTGAGCTCTGAGTTGTTTTCATAAAAAAAAAAAAAAAAAAAAAAAAAGTAACTTACAAGATATGTAAGAAAAGCTCTCAGGCTTTTAATTTAGGTTTTTATTCCTTCTTGGACGTGATCTGCATCAAAGTAATGTACCAAAGACTCAAATCCTTGAATACAGCATCCTGGATATATCATTATGTTTGACCTGTGGAAGGAAAAAATAAAAATCCCTTACAACACACAGCTGAAAGCTACTAGGAACAAAGTCAAGTAGAATGGCGCCATTTCACCAGGAACAAATGTATTCATGCAGCAAACAAAGATGATTTAAATCTCTATCTCTGCTGAGGACAACAACCTTTCTGAACTGTCACATTCAGATGGGGTCAAGCCAGACAAAATGAAGGGAATATTTCAAATTTCTTGAAGACTTTGTATTAAATCCAGTGACTCCAACCAAATCATTTTGTCTTTTGAGTCAAAAGATCAAAAGATCACGTACTAAGTCTGATTGGTTTCGACTGTAACCAGTGCGCTCCTAAGCATTTTTTTTATTTTGTTTTGTTTTTTTGCACAAGGCGACTGAGAATTAATTGTGGCCACCATCAGTAACAAAACACAGAGACATTAGGTCATGATTGGTGGTAAGAAGCTTGTAACATGAAATATGTGAATGAAAATTCAAGAAATTTGAATATTTATTTGAAAATAGATATTTCTAATGCTGAATAAAATTTTTATTATTTATTTCCAGTCCCAAGCAAATATTACTATCCAAACAGAAGTGAAGTGTCACTGGAGCCAGTGCTCACCAATTCAGAGGAGCTCAGAAGCAGTCTGGGCTGTGGATCATGTCCTGGTTGAGTCCATTATCTTGAGGAATACAGGCATAGCAAAAAGCAGAGCTCGGACTTTGAACTTCAGGAGAGTGAACTTTCACGTTTTTAAGGAATTTTTAGTAAATGCCCTGGGAAACTATCCTTAGGGACACAGACAAAACAGACCTGGCTGCTCTTTAAGAACACTTTCCTGAGAACACAAGATCTCTCCATCTCTCCATCCCCCTGCATGAGAAATCAAGAAGAGAATGCAGGAAATTAGCATGGCTGAACAAAGACATGCTGGTCACACTGAGGGAAAAGAAGGAAAAGCACAGGGAGTGGGATCAGGGATGTGAGACCTGGGAAAAATTCAGGGATGTCATCTGGACATAGATGGGATCAGGAAAGACAAGGCACAGATGGAACTAAACTTGGTGAGGTTTGTGAAAAATAACAAGAAATGTTTCTATAGTTATATTGGTCAGAATAAACAATCAAAGAAGAGTGTACACCCTCTGCCAAATGAGAAGGGAGAACTGTCTTCAACAGACCTGGGAAATGCTAAGGCACTCTAAAAGTTATTTGCCTAATGGCTCTAAACCAGGCATTTGCATTGGCCTCTTCTGCCTTTTTAGATTAAACTTCTTTAACAGTCTTGCATGAAATGTCATATTCTGCTTGTGATGTAGTTAATTGTAACCAAGTTATTAGAGTCAAAAATTTAACTATTCTTTTTATTTTTCCAGTGGCACCCTTATGCTCTGTGTTTAATATACAGAGGCTACATGCAGATATGGCCACAGTATTTAACTGATTCTATATAGGTCTCTCCAAAAGTAATGCTTTGTGTTTATTTCCATGGAATCAGCATCTGATACAAAGAGCACAATAATGCTATTTGACAGAGCAAATTCTCAGCTACAAAATACTATTTTTCAACATAGACACTATCATTTGCTAAGCTTTTTTCACCAGCAGTGAACAAGAGCCTGCATGCTGTGTTTGTAAAACATTGCATCACTGTACGGAACATGGATTGTTTTACACATAATTGGCACCACTGCTGAGACACACCTCCCAACACCTGACTGCACTCACATCCACAGTTTGGTCTCCATAGATGTGCAGCAACCATCAATGAATGAATGTCAGTAGGTGCATGTTTTTCCACATGGAGAAATTCAGTGACACACCTTTGCTTCACACACACTTCTATGTCAGATGCCATTGTATCAGACTGCCTTTCTTTTGCATGAAGTAAGAGAATGTTGTTGGGAAAGTTCAACCTCCACTGCCATGCCACCAACATCCACCTCTGATTTTACCAAAATAATAAAACAGGAGGTGCTGCTTTCAGACCAGTCATAATAGAAAAAAAAAAACTAACAGGAGAGACCTAGTGTTTTTCACACCCCTAGACAACTAATTTTACTTTTGTGTGGCCTGGAAAAATAAGAGACAGGCACTGCTTGTAATGAATTGACTAGTCTATCATCAAGATCTACTGCTGCTCTGTACTCTGCTATGCTGAGTGATCCCAGTTTTAGTCTGCTATTCCTAAATTTACCATGGATGCTTTGAGTTTGATATATGACTTGGCTATTAGATACCTCAATGCATGGATAAAAGCATCATGGTACCTGGCAAGAATAAACCCAGCTTGCTCTTATCTCTGTTGTTTGGATCTATATTGAATAAAAGGGGAAGAAAAGAAAGAGAGAAATGAGAATCTGCCCTTTAAATCTGCCCTTGTGCTTAAACTTCACTCAGGAAATTTAATAGGAAGGAAATAACCTTAATTTCTTCTATCTGTATAAAATAGTTTCTGATAAAAATAGGGGCAGCAGTACTAGTAACTGAAGAATGTAAGTGATAATATCTTAACACAGTTTTAAAATAGAAATATTGTATCTCTAAAAATCTCATTAGGATAAATAATACCTCATTTCACTAGGATCTTTTTCATCACATTATATTGAAAATGACTTATTTTTCACTCACTTAAAGATATCTATTTCACACTTCATGATGGAAAGCAGATTCCTTTTTCAGGAGTCTCTTGAGCATGTGAAGCAATTGTACAGAATGTTCTATCTTACATTTTTGGCAAGCTGTTAAACTGCTTTTGCCGAATCACATTTTAAAACCTTGACAGTGACTTAAATTACCACAGATTTAAGCTTTACTCATAACATACCATAATGTCATAACTGTGCTCAGCAAGGCAGTGATGAGTTTGTTTAAGGAGCGCAATGCACTCTCTGTGCACATGTAGTCTTTCATCCCTCCTTAATAAGCATGTGGAGATATACATTGTACAAAACACAGCAAGCTAAGGGAAAAGCATCCCATTAATCTTTCCAGCAACTGGAGTGATTTGTTTTGTGATGAAATTTCGTTCTCTGCTCTGAATACATACTGGCATTTGTTTCCTATTGCTTTTCAGGATTTACAGAAGAGATCTTTGGTAGCAAATTGCCCTTTCACTCTCAGCAGGTCATGCATTCTGTACAAACACAACTCCAAAATACTTTTCCTGTGCAAAAATACTCAAGAAACAACTGCTCTTAGTAGGTATTTGGCACTTCATTCTCTGCTGACTATTTTTTCCTGTATATGTCTTTGTTTAACTAAAAATTAATTGAAATCATTCCAGTTTTACCTTTACAGTGGTTAAATAAAAGTCTTAACTCACTAACTGGAATACTGCTCTGGACTTAAAATGTTGACCATTTGAGGCTGCAGTTATCTTAACATAATGAATTAAAGGGGACTTGCTTTAATTCACAAACTTGCACTGCTCACTGGAAATCAGTTACCTGCAGAAATTTTTTGTAGTGAAAGACAGAATTATCTCCAGCTCCAGCATGCAATGGTTCAGTGCATGTATCTAAACACTTATTTGCTTCTGGCACGGGACCCACAAAGACTGCATTCAGGCCATTTCCAATCAGACTTTGCAAAAACTGCCTATTATTATTATTCTTAAAGTATGTTATTTGTATAGTAATTACTGAATGCCATTTGTATAGTAATATATAACAATTACTGTATAATAACTGTTGAAGGAATCATGAGTGTTTAGTAAGGAATTGATCTTGAAGGAACTGCATACTGGGAAAAACATTTCTGGAGCAGGAAGTAAAACAAAGATATGAATTTTGCAGCTGATGTGATTTGGATTTTTTTTTCTGCTAGGCTTATGTAATACTGTCAGAAAAGATAAAAGAAGCTGCACACTGCAGCTTCTGCTTAAGTACAAGCAACAGGGAAAGTACTCAGTGTTGGTAGGGAATGCTTAAAATATCAAGCCTTTATTACTGGACAACAGAGCTAAAGAAATAGTAGAATTCATTCTTAAGGAGAAGTTGATTTGACTCAAAACTAGAATAACAGTTATTTATGTCTTGAGTATTTATCTGCTGATGCTACAATGAAATTGTGCAGAGGCCAGAAGATCACAAACTTCATAAAATTTAGTACAAATATTTGTTTGAATATTTCCTGACAAAACTTGTCCAGTATTTCTATTCCTTTTTCACCTTTTGAAACTGGCTGATATGTTCAAGATATACAAACAATAAGATGTGATTCAGCTTGTCAATTGTACATCATAAAGAATAAACTCTGAGTAATTTGCAAATAATTCACACTCATGAAGATTTTCTTCTAAAATATTCAGATGTTCAATTTCAAAGAGAATCTGAGGAAATCAGGATAAGTTACAGATCACTGGATGACCAAAACCAACTGTGATTGTAATTAATATTGTTCTTTTGGCTATTTAAGGATAAATAAACAAACAAACAAACAAACTCAACAGATTCTACAAGATGAATATTTCCATTAGTACATCAAAAATAACAAAAAATAAGGATATTAATCATTAATATTATATTACTTTTAATTCTATTCTACTATTCTATTCTGCTATTAATAGTATTTACACCATTTCTTTTTCTGTGAAGGTATACTATTGGCATTATTTCACAGATAGAAGGATTGATTTAAAAAATTAGCCTTCAGTTCTTAACGGCTTGCACATAGAAGCTTTGGCATGAAATATAATGGAATTAAATTTACTCCACAGAGATAATTCTGGATTAATGTTTTCATTTTTGCAGTGCATAAATGCATTTGAATTCAAGTTAACTGAAGCTCTGCAGATGATTTACAATTGAACATTAAGAAAGCAGACTCAACTGTCATTCTGGATTAATTAAACTGTAATATGAAGAGAATTTATTTTATGAATATCCACAATACTCAGTTTGCTTGGAACAAAAAAATAAAATAAAATAAAATGGGAATATAAGATTTTTTTTCTCAAATATTCTTCTCTAATCCTGTTTAGCTGTATTAAGTTGTATTAAAATCCCATTAATTCCTACAGAGTTCCAGAAATCTGCAGCTGTGCAGGCATTTGCCACAAAAATAATGCTCAAATCATATTTTGACATGTTAAAAACAGATTCTATACATCTTCAGAAGTTTGAATAAAATTAAGTCCTGCTGCTTTTTATACTATTTCTGACACTTTTAAGCAGGTTTTTGAAACTTCAAATGTTTTCATAAGGAATGTAGAACAGTGTTCCTCAAATTATTAAAAATAATTATTTTTTCAGAAATCTTTTATCAAATCCCATGTAAGGTTGTTCTTTAATGAACATTACAATAATGTGTACAAGTATTCTAACAGGGGTGCTAGGTGTTAATTACATTAATCTTATAGTAGCTGTATTAAAAACTAAATACTTTCTCTCCAGAGAGAAACTTTGTATAAAGAAAGCCTAAATATCAAAGAGAAGCAGCAGCTCTTAAAAGCCAGTAGTACAGCAAAACCAAAAGCATGCAAAGAAAAATAATTCAGAAATAAAGTGACTATAATTTAAAAAAAAATTATCAGAGATTTATGTCATGGTTTTATGATTATTGGTTACCGGTATTCGACATCATAACATCATGCAGTGCACTGGGAGTTTAACTGCTAATACTCAAGTTCTATGTACCTGTTCAGAAGAGAAGAACTACATTCCCCAGTGGGCTTTGCTGTCAGAGAGGAGATATAACTCCTGGCAAGGAGTTTTGAGAAATCCCTCTGCCGAACCAACCATAAATTGTTGACAATTTAGAATTCCTGAAGTGCTGCCTGTGATCTAAAACTATAAAGAGTCCTGAGTACCTGAGTGGATTTGTGGCACTGAAACTTTTTGAATTTCAAACATTCTTAGATATGAAGTACT